ATATATTCATATGTGTGTATATATATATAAAAACGATAAGGTGACAGAGGGCACTTCAGGCCTCTCCTGCCATGGGCAGATGACATTACCACATGCTGTGCTGAAGATACCTCTCGCTTGGTCAGTGACTAGCTCATGACACCTGTCCTATCACGAAGTACTGAACGGTGCTCCTCTCAGGAGAAGGACATGCTCCCTGCCACTCTGTGCCCTTCTCTGGGAGTGCTGGTGGTGCCACAGACCATCATCTCGACTGAGTTTCCTGTGCTGCCAGGAACTGTGGACATGAACTGGTAGGGACTCCAGGGACAGAAGGAGGAGGAGAGAGAGGGCTGGTGGAGAAAAGAGCAACCTGGCCCTTGGAGAACCAGCATATCCCTTTGTTGTGCAGACTGCGGTAGCAGGGACAGAAAAGCCACTGGTGCTGTTGGGGATGAAGAAGAAATGGAGCGTCTATGACGCTAAAACGGCAGAGTGTTACCAGAGAGTGTCAACTAAAGCTTCTTTGATTTCTTTCACTAGAGCAATCACCGTGTCATACATGTCTACGGTTTTGCTTATATAATTTCCTAGGCAAAATTGTGCTCATCAATCTAGTCCAGGAGTGCAGAGCATCACCGGTTCATCTCCCATGTGCATGCCTTCCTTGTTAAGTGTTCTGCTCTAAAATGTCCTTTTCCACCTTACAGCTGATGGACATGTGCCCTTGGCTCAATGAAGGGCTTGAATGTGTCTTCCGCAAAGCAATGTTGTCAGCTTCCACCTTGAAGAAACTGGTTTCAATTCTCTCTAGGTCATCTGTCCCGACTTTTATCTTCATGCACAGCAGGTTGATGTATGTCTCGTAGCGGCTCTTCTGCAGGGAAAAAGGGAACAGAGAGCCTGGGAACAGGGACAGACCATGGCGTGTGTGGAAAGCAGAGGCAATGCCACCTGCTACTGCAGGAAAACCCATCCTATATTGTCAGAATCCCACTAATCACACCCAACAAGTACTGTTTAACTTGTTTAACAGTTTAACTGTTTAACAGCACAATGCCTGGTCTATGCAAAACCTGCAAAGACTGATCAACCCATCGTTGAAAGGATTGAGGAGAAAGGGGAGGGTTGTGCAAGACTAGTTGCTCGTATGGGTCTTGACTGCCACTCATTGTATAAGGTGGATACTGGAGGCAAAACCGGACCAACAGATCTGCTCCTTCCTGACTTAGGAGTTCCCCTTGATTGATTCAAACACTTCTGCTTGCCATTGTTTCCATCCAGTGATTCACTTGTTACTGCAGAGTTGTGCCCGCATTTCTCCTCACAGAGTACAGCATAAAGGGAGGCATTGCCTCTCTGCCTGGCACCTTTATTCCAAGGCTAGATGGGACCACTTTTTATGGACTTGTGTAATACTCGTCCTTTCCCCTAACATCTCAGAGGCAGCCTATACTTGCTTTTTTGTCAGCACAGAGAAACAAGCACATCTCATAAGACAGACGAGATGAATTATGCTCTGGAAGTGCCAACTTCTTGCAGACTGAAAAGGCAGCCTAGAGAAAATGCTCAGATGGAGACTTCTCTGCAGGCATCCAGAACAAGATGTCTGGAAAACAGGAGGCAGCAGCAAGCAACTATTTGAAGGGTTGGTACAAAGACAAGGCAACCAGCAGCCCGGAACTGTGGCTTTGGAGAGTCAGGCTGGACATTACACAAAAGGGTGGTGCAATGCTGGTATGTGGGAGGTGGGACATTTCCATCCTTGGAGATTTCTGAGACTCAACCACAAAATGACACAGTCAGCCTGGGCTAATACTGTGAATAATCCAAGCTCCTGCTGGAAGCAGGACTAGAGGCCTCCAGCAGTTCCTTCCCACTGACACCTATGTGACAGGAACCACACCTTCTGCTCAACTCTCACTGGAATAAAATATCCCATTTCTCCCACAATTAAATGCTTCTTAGACTTTGCAGAGAGTTTAAACTTAGCTACATGCATCCTCAAAAAGTCTGTAATCAGCTGTAAAGCTGGTTTTGGCTTTACTTACAGAAACAGTTGCAGCAAAACAAGATTAATTCTCCCAGGGATTCCCTTAGCTTTTTATTAATGTTGCTGGAAAAGACTGATGCACACTGAGAACTGAACCACCTTCTTACTTGGGACATGAGGAAATGTCAAGTTTTGGCACAGTAAAGGAAGATTTTATTTCTCTCATCAGTTTTCCCCTCCTCTGGTTAGAAATCACAGAGGGGAGGAAATGTCTGTTATTTCTTTTTTTCTAGCTTTAGTGCAAAACAGTGAGGCTTGTTGCTGCCCCAAGACACCCATCCAGCTTGTGATCCCTCATCCTTCTCTCTCCTTTCACGCTCTCCCAGGCTCACAGCATCCATTCCGGAGTTCTTAGGTCTCCTCAATCAGCCAAGGTATCATTTATTACAGAAAAGATGAAAGTTCCTTTACCTCAAATATTAGGTAATGTTCTTTGAGTCTGTATTCCTCAGCCTCTTTTGACTTGAGGCTCTTCTCTACAGGATGTAATTTATGCTCTGCTAATTCATCTGCAATCTGCTTCATTTTATTTTCATGAGACTTCAGCTGTTCCTCCTGCCGAGAGAAGCATGTCAGGTATTAAAACATAGGAGTGCAACACCCAAGTGCACCGCCTGCCTGTTGATGTGGGATCTGTCTCTGCAAGGACATAAGCTTAACTACTGTGCTGGAGCCAAAGTTGTGCAGTACATTTGCAAATTCATCTGATAAGGAGCAGCTGAAACACAGGTATTTGAATAAGATCAAAACTCATGTATCGCAAGTGCCAAGAGCAAATTTCTCTGGCACCTGGGCTTCTTTAGCATCATAAACACGAAATGCTCTGCATTCTTTAAAAGCCAGGCAGAAACAGCAGTGTCCCCCCCCAGAAACAGCTGCTCATCCTGCTCTTTTTTGAGATTAAAGTACCCTCCCCATCTGGGCCGTGAGAAAGGTGACATCAGGCCACATCTGGTTCAGCAGATAGGAGCTGTGTCTCTGCCCTGAGATTTCAGGCTGTCCTCCCCTTTTCTGGGCGCCAGTGGCAGTGTGTCCCTACTTTTTGGAGGAGCTAAGGCATGTTAGGCTTTCCCTGGACAGTGAAAACAAAAGCTACTCTTTAGATGGCAGCTGCCTATTGCTCTTGGTTAACTAAGCCTTAGGCAGCCATGGTCTGGTGCACCATGCCCCCTTGCTTCCAGAAAACCTACCCCACTGAGTGGGACTCAGAGTCCCCCTTTGTGGCTTTTCGGCTTGTGAAACAACAGCGTGCCACCTCCAAGTGCTATGTTGTAAAATAAACCAGGGCTGTAGCCAGCTGTTGGGCTCAGTAGCACCAGCTGTTTTCAAGTCTGGCAACAGAAAGGTGCTGGGATGTGATGGGCAAAGAGCAATAAACAAGCCAGAATCAACAGCTGTACAGGCAGGTGTGTGTGCATAGGGTTGCTTTATAGCCACTACAAAGGAAGCATTGGCCAGACACTGGGATTTGCCACCATCTGTCCAAGTCGCCCACTCCACTCCCCTGTTCCTGCCCTGAGCACCTGAAACTGTCTATCAGGCAGGCGCTGGGGGAGCTTCAGACAGGCTCAGCCTGACCTGCGTGCTGAAGGGCTGGCTGAGCACTGGGCACCCCTCCCTTGCCCCTTCTCTCACATTACCTGGCACAGCTTGGTCATGGATGAAGGCAGGAGCGGACGGCAGAACTTCTTCATGGAGCAGATTGCAGCTGGGAAGGCTGGGGCAGAGAAAATGGCAGCAACAAGGTTGATTCGCAGAATCCAGGAGAGCATTTCTTCCTTACTTCTGTTATGCAGGAGGGGAGAAGAGAGGGGGTGTCTGTAAATGCTCCTGACCTAGGACCAGCCAGCTCAGAACAGACATGGAGCCACCTGCTCTCAGGAGAGGCATCAGTGGCCTTGCTTTGAAGCCATCTCTGTGCCACCCTGGGTTGTGAACAGAGGAAGACACTGGCTAATTGGCTCCTCTACAGTGCCCTAATGATTTCAGGGCTGTTGTCTGCCTGTTGAAGTCCTGGCAGTCCTGTCTTCCTCATCAGCTCTGATTGCATTCCCTGAGGAGCTGGGGAGAGGTAGCATGGTGGCAAGGGCCAAGGATATCCTGCTCTTTGGAGAGTAGGAGCCACACGACAGAGGTCCTACAGAGCAGGGTGGACACCTCATTTGTGTCATTCAGCCCTCCTGCTCAGTGTCTTCATCCCCCCAGACTTGTCCCCTAATGCATGTGTTGATCTGGCCAGGTTGGAG